GTTCCTGTCCTGGCTGTGCGCTACCTGGGGAAGCCCGCCACCAGCTACCGAGGCTGCTCAGGAGGCCCTGAGGGTGGAGGGTCGTTTGCAAGGTGGGTGCCGCCCTCCCTCGCGAAGCAGGGTCTGGTTCTCGGGGCGGGAGAAGCTTCCTGCCCGGGGCCTCCCACCCTCCCCGTCTGAGAAGCGAGTCTGGTTTCCAAGGTGCCAGGCGGGCAGTGACTGTGACGCCAAGCAAGGGTGTGCGGGCGGGCGGGCGGGGGAGCCGGAACATGAGCCAGCACATGGAAAGTGGGGGAGAGGGGATCCCCCTGCGCTTTCCCGAGGCAGCAGCCCAGTCACAGGGAAGTTTCCATTTATGGTAAAACACAGGAAGCAGAAGGATCATCCCGAAACTGCCTCTGAGCGGGCAGGGAGGTGATGTCACCCTGCCTGGACCGACTGTGGCCCCGGGAGGCGGCGGCAGGTTCGCAGCTATTTCTGAGGTCGGAACAGGAAATGGTTAATAGTGTTTGCAAATAAAAACTTTTTGTTCTATCCTGTTTTTGAAGCATTTCCCAGAAGTTAAAAAAGAGCACCCAAATTACCTGCCCAATTTAAGAACCCCATTTTAAAAATTTGAACAAAATATGACACCATTTGTTACACACAAGAATAGAGATGGTTGGGTTGTCTGTTCGCTAAGGTGGCAGAATCCCAGATTTCCGACTCTCCTTACTTGGTCAACTTTCTACAATGCTGTTGTTTGAACACGGTTCAAACACGGTTCAAGAAGACAACTGAACTTACACTTTAAGTTCCCACGTTTGTTTGTGTGTGTACGTGGATGTGTCTGTGTGTTCGTGTGTGTGTGCTCACATGGGTGTGTGAGACGCGCGTCACGTCTGACCTCTCGCCGTGGACGCCGCTCGGCCTGCCTGCTGGCTGGTCAGCCAGGTGGGGCAGCTGTAGCCCCCGCAGGCTGGGACGCCGGCCACCCGACCCCCGGACTGCCGCTCTCCACACGGCGGACGTGGCCGAGGGAGGGTCCCCCGCCCTGCTCTGCGCACACCTGCTTATTTCAATGGAGACATGAAACTAAACTATCCACCAGCGTCAGGAAATGGAACTGTCAAACCAAGCTGTTAGTAGCCAGTTATTTTTTTATCGTTCACAAAATTGCTGTGTGGCCAGTTAGTTATGCGGGGAACATGCTTACAGCCAAGATGTCCAAAGGGCCAGCCACCCAGGTCCCGCCTCGTTGGCCCTGAGGTCCCCAGTCTGTCCCTTCGTGGCCCAAGGCCGGTCTCTGTGGTTCTCACTGCTCCTTCCAGGGTGAGCCCCCACGCCACCAGGGCTTGGCAGACATGACTGGCCCCCTGCCCGGCAGCAGCTCGGTGGACAGCAGAGCAAGGAACTTGGGGAGGTGGTGGGAAGAGCCCGTGGGACAGGACGCTGGACGAGGGGCTGCTGGCGTGCAGACGCTGCTGTCCTGGCCGCCGACTCCAGGGCCCCTGCCCGCCGGCAGCCCAGAGACACCCACCGTGCCTGCATGCTGGGGGCTGGGCCTGGGGTCTGCCCAGCTGCCCTGTGTCCCTGGAGCCGAGGTTTGGGGGAGGGCAGGGGTGAACCCGGCATGATTATTTCTACCTGATTTTCTCTCCTTGTCTGTCTGTCTCTCTCAACTCCTCTCCTCCAGACACACAGGGTGGGATCCATTCAGCTAGCTGGCCTTGCTGGAGCTGGACCCTGGGATGCCCTCCCTCTCCCAGCCTGGTCTCCGGCTTTGACTCTTTTACTGTGCTGTCCTGTCCCAAAGTTGGCACTTCTCTGGTCCAGCCACGCCCAGGCCAAGAGGGGGACAGAGGCTCTGAGCATTGTCACCTGCAGGAGACGGTCCTCATGGCTCATCGGGGCTGCCAGAAGGTATGCTTTCAAATGCTCCAGCTGGACACCACCCAGTGGTGAGGGCTGACCCCTGCCTTCCAGCCACCTTCTCCAAAAGCTGGACTCGAGAAGTTGAGTGCCGGGGCGCCTGGGTGGCTCAGTCGGTTGGGTGACTGCCTTCGGCTCAGGTCATGATCCTGGAGTCCCGGGATCGAGTCCCGCATCGGGCTCCCTGCTCGGCGGGGATCTGCTTCTCCCTCTGACCCTCTCATGCTCTCTGTCTCTCATTCTCTCTCTCTCAAATAAATAAATAAAATCTTTAAAAAAAAAAAAAAAGAAGTTGCATGCCAGGCAGGTCGGTGTGAGCCAAAAGGAGAGTGTCCATGGGGGACAGGACAGCGCTGTCTCCGTCAGCTGGGGCAGTAGCACTGAAACGGTACCTGGTTGCCCCTGACATCACTCTCCGTCCCGAGCCCAACCCATTCTGGAGTCATCGATGCGTTGGGGAAGCTGGTCACAGAGTGGTGGGCAGAGGGTGGAGGACAGAGCAGGGGCGGAAGGGATATCTAGCAAGCCTCATTCCTAGAGTCCATGTCGGAGAGACCCACATCCATGCAGGTGGACCACACACAGCTGGCCAGCTTCAGGGTCACGCCACAGCCCCCGGGTGTCGGCCGAGCGCTGTGCGTGTTCTGCCTCATCCATCACCCCTCTGGTCAAGAAGACAACTGACTTGTAGCTGACCGTGTGAGCAGCTTTTGCAGACAGCTTGGTTTGGGGGCTTGGGGGGACGGATAAACGGGCATGGGGAGAGAGGCACGTGGAGGCTGGCTTCCCTTGGGTCTGCCCCCTATGCCTTTCTAGCAGTCTCCTGGGAGAGGCATAAGGAAGTTCCCGAACCACGTAGATTGTTTCTGGGTGGCGGTCAGTCATGATACCAAGACTCTTCCCTAAACTCAGAGGCAGGTTGTGGTTTCTAGAGCGAAGGAGGCTGCGGGGTGGGCCGGGTGGACAGGGCTGTGGTACGGCCCTGGGGCGGAGTGTGGGCTCCCACGCCCAGCATGGTGTGGAAGCAGTCAGGGCGCTGGGTCCAGAGAGGCCACGTGGAGAGGAAAAGCCCTGTGGGGACCTCTGCACAGCCTCCAGGCTACAGCCATTCCCTCAGACCCCTGCTGGCCACGTGACCAGGACCACACGCATGCCCACCTACACACAATGGCCCTAGACCAACCAGCAAAACCCAGGGCCTTAGGCACAGCCCAGCATATCAGTTAGAAGTGCTGTAATTGGTTGTCTGATGAGCCAGAAAACCCAGAGCACCGGGCCTTACGATAACAGTAGGAGCTGGATGTTTACTTTTTTCATGAACAACGAATCCAGAGGTAGGTGATCCTGAGGTGGTACAGTGACCCTGACTGTCATCCAGCGTCCAAAGTCTTGCTTTTCTGCTTCCTCCACACATGGCTTCCATCTGCAAGTTCACCTCATGGTCCGAGGGGGCTGCAGGAGTGCCAGTCATCACGTCTGCATCAACGAACAGATGCAGGGGACAGTGCAGGGGGCGTGGGTCTTCCCCAGCTAGCTGGTCCCACAGGATGGAGCCTTCCCAGGAGCACATCCCAATAATTTCCTCTCCTATCCCGTGAGCACGCTTTGCTGCAAGGCAGACAGATGGCGCATAGCTGAGAGAGCCAAGAACAAGTTTCAGAAATGCAAAATATGAAAAGGACATCCACTCACTTGCCAAGATTAGCTGCAGACTGGACAAAGATGAGCAGAGAATTCGTCAGCCGTTAAGAAAGGAGAAGGATCGTTCTGCGCGCAGGTAAGAGAGACAGTCATGGAGGCACCGAGGGTGAGTGAGAGGTTTTGGGCACCACAGGTGATGAGGCCGGTGGTGGGCAGAGCGTTTGCTCTACCCTCTGAAGGTGTGGGCTCCCTTCACACGCTGGAGCTTCTGGGGCCACCACCAAAGCAGCAGGACCAGAGCACAGCATCCGAAGCCCTAGAGGGGCAGTGAAAGATGAAACAGTGACCTCGCCAGGATGCAGGGGGACAGGGACACGGGAACAGGTGGACGGTCCTCCAGAGCAGGGGAGGCTCAGGTGGCCAGAAAGGCCCAGGGAGCCCAGCTCCCAGGAGGCGTGGAAGCGGTAGTTCTGAAGCCTGAGGATGGTTGTCCAGGAGGTGCATGACCCTCACCTGGGGCACACAGCAGCCTGGCCACGTGCGTGAGAGGCGGCTGGTTGCAGCGATGCTTCTGTCCACCCACGGGGAGGGTGGGGGCCCAGACTCACATGCACAAAACGTGTCCTGCACGATTCTGTGTGCATAAAGCCCAAAGCAGCAAAGGGGAATGTCTCTGGTTGTGGAGCCCTAAGGGGTCCCGGCCAGGCTGACTGTACCTCTGCAAGGGAGGAGCCCATGGAGCGCGCTGGGGGGTTGCCCTTCAGGTGCCTAGCAAGGCTTTACGGTAACTGTGACACTCTGCGTTATGTTTTAGCCGTTGTTTACATAAATGTTCTACATTCTAGCCAATATGAAGTTTGAGAAAAAACCATGGGGAACTTTGCAAGCACCCATGTTCAGGGCACTTCCTCCCGGGCTCGTTTTCAGTGGTAAAGGAGCACTCAGCAGCCGGGACGGAGGCCGGGCAGCAGATGCGGCTCAGCTGCGGGCTGCAAACACGGCAGACGCTTACACGCGGACGAGTGGGCAACACTGTCTGAGGCATGTTGTGGGCTAAGGAGGCCACTTTGAGTGCGATTTCCTGCTTGTGAGAAGCAGATACGAAGATTTACACATGCCTGTGTGTGGGGCCACGTGCGGACGTCAGCACCACAGTGATGATTACGTACCAGTTTATTTTCTGTTATCTGTTTTCCTTTGTGTTTATCTGTTTGTTTTTTGTTTTTCCTAAAATGAAAATGTATTGCTTGCGTAACAAGAAAACATTCGAGGGGATGAGAAAAAAAGGCCTGTTTCTCATTTCCCGGAGCCGACCCTGGTTGCCGTGGAGACTGGACGGTTGTCAAGGCGGTGATTGGCTGGTGAGGATGCAGGATGTGGGATCCCAGGCTTCCCTGGAGTGGCAGCGGGCGCAGCTTCCAGACCGCACTGCGGAGCCCGGCGCCAGCATGGATGGGGTGGACGTGTGGGCCAGCACCCTGGCCCAACTGATGGCCAAGAGGAAACCCCAGGACACCTGGGAGCTGGTCCCTGAGGAGAACCTGGCCTCCGGGCACATGGAGGGTGGCGGTTTTCAGTACCGGCTGAGGGGGCTTTCCAGGTGCGCTGCAGGCGGGGGGCTGCTGTGGGGTGCTGGGCAGGGAGGGGCTGAGGCTGCTTAAGCACCAGCCGGGGAGGCCCTGAGTCCGGAGGCCGGGCTGGTGCAGTCCGGCCCTCATGGGCCTGGAAGGGGCACGCATCCCTCCGGCTCTTGGCCTCCAACAGGTAGGTGGACCAGGCGTTCGTTCTCCCTTCCAGGAATTGGGGGCTGGGGAGCCACCTCTGTTCAGTCCCTCGGTGCTGGCCACCCCAGTCGGGGGCCTCGCAGAAGCGGGGGCATGGTGGATGCTGGGGGGTGATGTGGCCACCCACGCGTGAGAGGCTTGTCTGCTCACTGCAGCATCTCCTGGTTTCCATGGCAGCGCTGACCGCCAGAGCAGGGGATGGGCAGGTGCCTGTGCTCACACCCCAGCCTGCACGGGGCCTGAAGGAAGGGAGGCTAAGTTGTGCCCGAGGGGGGCACAGACCCAGAGCGGGGAGCTGTGTCTGGGCTGGGCTGCAGGCCAAGCAGGGGCTGGGTTGGGAGCCCCAGTGTCGTGGGGGTCACCATGTGAGCCCCGTTCCTCATTGTCATGGGGACAGCCCCAGGGATGGGCCAAGCCTGCGGGGACCCCACCCAGCCAGGCATGCCCTGCCCTGCAGGGGCCCGCGGGGAGGGGGGTCATTGGGGGAGGGGGCCTCATGGACAGGTCACCACGGGGACTCTGTGGGCAGCCACCCTTTGACAACGGACGCCTCAGCCCCCACCCAGTGTCTGAAACTCCTGGAGCCAGGTGTTTAGTGGGACGCTGGCTTTCCCAGGTGTTAGGAGAATCGGCCCTCGGTGTGTCTGAGAAGCACCTGTTCCCACGGCCAAGCTGGAGAACTGCCTTCAGTGGCCGAGGGTCACAAACACTGTTCCCTTGCCTTTCAGCTTTCATGCAGCTAGAAATGCCAGGGAGTGGGGGGTCACAAGGCACCGTCCCTCGTCCTGCACACAGCAGCCCTGGCCACAGCTAGCCACATTGAAATGGAGTTGAAAGTCCAGCCCCCAGGGCACTAGCCGTGTCCAGCCCCACCTGTGGCTGCAGGCTGCTGGCTGGGCCGTGAGGACGGAGCCCATCCTCACCATCACGGAAAGTCCCGTGGGACAGCGCTGCCTGGGAGATACTGGGCAGGTTTCCCACGTGCACGTGCATGTGGTCGCTCGTCCGTGACCTAAGGGTCTTGGAGAGAGGGCCCCCCTGCCGGCCCTGGGGCACACGGCCGCAGAGGCCCTGGACCGGCACCTTCTTCAGCCCCAGTGGTGCTGGGCCATCTTGCTCACGTGTTCGGAGCCAGAGCGGACCAGTGGAAGGGGCTCACTCGCCATCATCCTGCGAGCCCCCAGCCCCTCCCGGCTCTCCCGGCCTTCTGTGTCCCGAGACTCCCCCGCCCCTCCATCTCACCTTCTCTCCGTGGGGATGGGGCTCTTCCTTCCAGGGCCTCCCCTCACTTCTCCGCATTGTCATGGGGACAGCCTCAGGGATGGGCCAAGCCTGCAGGGACCCCACCCAGCCGGGCATGCCCTGCCGTGCAGGGGCCCACGGGGGGGGGGGAGGGGGCCTCCCCTGGGGGAGCCAGGCTCTCCCCCCCTCACAGGTATCCGCAGGGCTGCCCTTGGCTCTTGGTGACATGTCCTCAGGGCAGAAAGCAGCAGCCGGCTGCAGCGGGGCAGTGACCTCCCACAAGTGTCAGGCCAGGCTCTGCCACGAGCCAAACCGGTGAAAAGGCCTTTGTTTTTCAGCTTTCCAGATTATGCGCACAGGCAAGGGGCGCACACCTGTGGAAGGGGTCTCGGTCCGGAGCTTGTGCTGGGCAGGCCTCCAAGCGGGCAGGGGCCAGGGCCGTCCCCCTCCCCTCCGCTCACTGCCGCCTCTGTCCTCCCCACCCCCAGGCTCCAGTGTGGCCGCTGCCAGTGGGGCTGGTCCTCGGCCCACGTGCACATCCTCTTCCACACGTGCTTGGATGAGGACAGCCGCCTGGGGCTGGTGAAGATGCGCATCTGGGGCCAGCGGTGCAGGCTGTGCCCACCGGGCGTCCAGGGGCACTGCCAGGTGAGCCTTCTGAATGTCCGGCTCTTCCTCAACAAGCTGGTCCTGTTCATCCTGCAGAAGTGCTATGGTGAGAGCCTCAGCTCAGACCAGTGCCCCGAGATCTGCTTTGGTGAGCGCTGCGAGGCCTGCGACCTGGGCGTCTGCTTCTTCCAGAAGCCCCCAGACCCAGCCTGGGGGCCCGAGGTCAAGAGCCCCAGCACCATCAAGGGCAGGTACACCTTGTACGGAGGCGGCGGCTCGGCCACCACCGCCACCGGCAAGCAGCTGCTCACCCTTGGCAGCGGGCCCGTGGTCGACCACGCCAGGGGCTACACCCCCAACTCCATCACCATCCCCCTCTCCGTGGCCGACTTCATCAGGAACCCGATTTCCGAGAGCAGCAACTTCTTCAGCCAAGATGACGACATCGTCACCATCCCCTTCTCCCTTGTGGATGTGGGGAGAGACAAGGGGCCGGCCGCCGGTACCAAGGGCCGTGTCAGCCCGGGGCCGGGCTTCCTCCCAGCGGCTGACCCCGGCGGGCCCCTCATCGTCGGCAAGGGCTCCATCTACCTGCCGGCCAGTTCCACAGCCACGCCCAAGGGCAGAGGCCTCCTGGTGAACGTCAAATGCCCCATCTTCCATGGCCGAGGCCTCCTCATCAGCAGCATCAAGCCCTTCGAGCTGAAAGGCTTCATCTTCAAAGGCCGGGGCTCCGTCCCCAGCTCCGCCGGAAATGGCCCACTGCCGGTGTCCTACATCATTGGCCTCACGGATGACGGAGAGGGCTCCATCACCTTCCCCTCGTCTTTGGCGAACATCATCAGAGACGACTCCTTCCCCAACATCAACGGCTCCGTCACCTTCCCCTTCATCTTCACTGATGAAGACAAAGGCAAGAATGCTCCTGCCAACACCACCCAAGGCGAAGAGAAGGAGGATGGCGGTGATGGCCCTGCCCCTGCTGGCCGTGAGCCCCTTCCGGGGACCCGCACCCGTAGACCCGTCACCATTAGTGAGGGCTCCATCACCATCCCCTTCTCCGTCTTCGACATCATAAAGTACAAGGGCCCCGGCTCCATCGTCAGTGGCTGCCGGAGCGGTGGCCTGGCCATGCACGGCTATGACAAGAAGAGGAGACAGCCGAGGGCCGGGCTTGGCAGGTCCGGCTCCCAGCCCGGCTGGGAGGAGGACTCCTGCTGGGATGATGACTGCTGCGCGCCGCGTTTCGACCCCTACGAGGAAGTGTGGATCTGGGTTTCCATGACCGTCTGCATTCTCTGGATCACTTACCTGTACAAGGTCAGCCCCTGACGGCCAGTGCAAGTCCTGACGCCTCCCAGCGGGGTCCCCCCGTGCCCCTCCAGCAGGGTCGCCCAGGCAGCCGAGCAGTGGGACACCCTGCCCGCACCCCCGGGGCCCCCAGGCCACCCCTGCCTGCCCTCCCCGAGCCGAGTGTGGGCCCTCAGCCTTCTCTTCCACCTCCTGCTTCCGTGTGTGTAGTCTCTTGATGTGAGTCGTGGCCTCATGGATGTCCACACCGTGATTATCCGGCAAGCTGCCATGCGTGGTCCAGGCGCTTGTCTGTGTGAGCATTACAGTCCAATAAAATAAAAGCGAAAAGGAAAAACCAACATGGTGTTTTTGGGCTGTGAGGAAGCCAGCCCCCGGGACAAGGTTTTGAGGTGGGAGGGTGTGGTGGGCATGTCACTGTCACCCGTCAGTCCTGGTGGGGAGTGGGCTCTTCCTCTGATGGCTTCTGGATTCCTGGCCAGGGGTGACGGGACAGGACGCTCAGGCCAACCTGTGCCTTCTCAGCACAGGGCTGCCCCTCTACGCATCAGCCACGTTCTGTGGGCACCCACAGTGTTTTCCTGGGTGTGCCCCCGACTCTGGGGAAAGATGAAAGCCCCCCTTGAGGCTTGGCTGGTGACCCCCCAGCATGCATCTTTACTGAAGTTGTCCCCCCCGACCCCCAGCTCAGAAGGCATATCCCACCCAGAGGGGAGGGGCTGAGACACAGTCCGGCCAGCCCCCCCCCCCCCCGGGGCCGTGGGCCCCCTCCAGCACTGATGTGGTTTGAGAAAGGCCGTCCATGTCAGAAGTCAAAACCCTCCTGTCCGTCACTCACACTCTGGACTTCCATCTTCAAAAACCAGTCGGCCCACTTCTAAGGGGCGGGGGTGGGGCTGACGGTCCCAGCCAGGTGGGGGCATGGCAGTGGGCACGAGGGTGTCAGGTCACCACACCCTCTTCTTCTAGGCAGGGCCTGGCCCCCAGGGCCCCAGGGAGGTTGGGATTTGTCTGGAGGGACCCCGGGTGAGATGGTCTGGGGAAGCCTTTCCTTGTGGGGAGGGGTCAGTGTATGGAGACTTCCGTCCAGGGTTCTCTGCCCAGCTGCCCTGAGCCTGACCTGGAAGCTACAAGATCCTGCTGGGGGAGGCGTGGGGAGAGGGGGCGCCCGCTCGGGCGGGCGCTGTTGGCGGGAACAGGGGAGATGCGGGCGAGGCTTCGCATGTCAGCACTGGGACCTCATGTCCAGTCCTGCACGCCTGCTCACAGAAACCCGACAGACACCAGGACCCGGGAGGTTCTACCCTACAGTGAAGGCCAAACCTGTGTGAGACAGGTTTGCAGACCTCCACCAGCCTGAACAGGAGCCCCCACCTCACACCCCTGGGATCCGAGAAAGACCTAAACCCAGACTCTCCAGATCGTTGTCTACACTGGGTGGGACCCTCACTGTAAGGGCAGAACCCACTGCCCACCTTCAGGGTCCTGTCTACCCCAGGTGAGAGCCCTCTGTCTGAGGGCAGGAAGGTGGCACCCTCCCACCTTGGGTGTCCTATCTACACTGGGTGTGAAGACCAACTGGGTGGCTGGGTAGGGGTGTGTCTGCTTAGGAAGGTCCCACGTGGCCAGGCTCTCTGTCTAGTCCCCACACAGCCGCGGGGGCACCCGCCCTGCTCCCTGCTCGCTGGCTTTCCCTGGAAATGGCTGCTTGGGGTAGCCCTGCCCACCGTGGGCACTGCAGCTGGACTCTTCCCAGGGACATCCTGCCCGCAGTCGCGCGGGTCCCAGGGCAAGACGGAACCCATCCTGGGGAGTGTCCCTTTGGGCCAGCGGCTGGAGACCTTCCTGCCCCGTGTGGGCGAGGGTGCTGGGCTGGTCAGAGGCACCTGCCCTTCCCCGTGGAGGACCCCCTCTGGCGCACTTCCCGCAGCTCAGAGACCCTGCCCACCAGGGCCGCCCTGGGGAGGGGTTAATATCTGAAATGGAGGTGTCCAGCCTGGTGTCTCTTCTGATTGAGAGATCCACGCCAGTCCACCCCGGTGGGAGCAAGGACGTGGGGGTCTGCCTGGTCCCTCCGCCCTGCTGGCCACATTGGGCCTTCTCCATCCAGCCCCCAGCCCCCCTCCTCCAGCCTCTGGTCCCCTCCTCCCCTCCTCTGGTCCCCGCCCCCCGGTTGCCCCTAACCCCGCCCCCTCCTCCAGCCCCCGGCCCCCTCTCCAGCCCCTGGTCCCCTCCTCCAGCCTCAGGTCCCCTCCTCCAGCCCCCGGTCCCAGACGCCGCTAAGCCCCCCTCCAGCGCCCAGCCTCTTCCTCCAGTCCCCAGCCCCCTCCCCCAGGCCCCCGCACCCTTCTCCAGCCCCCAGCCCCACCCCCAGGCCCCCGGCCCCTCCTCCAGCCCCCGGTCCCTGACGCGGCTAACCACCCCCTCCAGCGCCCAGCCCCTTCCTCCAGTCCCCAGCCCCCTCCCCCAGCCCCCCGCCCCCTTCCCCAGCCCCCAGCCCCCAGCCCCCACCCCCAGGCCCCCGGTCCCTCCTCCAGCCCCCGGTCCCTGACGCGGCTAACCACCCCCTCCAGCGCCCAGCCCCTTCCTCCAGTCCCCAGCCCCCTCCCCCAGCCCCCCGCCCCCTCCCCCAGCCCCCAGCCCCCAGCCCCCACGCCCAGGCCCCCGGCCCCTTCTCCGGCCCCCGGTCCCGGACGCCGCTAACGCCTTCCTCCAGCCCCCTCCGCCCGCTCCTCCATCCCCTGGGCCCCTTCTTCGGCCCCTGGTCCCGGGACGCCCCTAACCCCCCTCCTCCAGAGCCGGGCTCCTGCTCCATCCCGCACCTGCTCCAGCCCTGGCAGCCCGCGCTGTCTTGCGGCGCCCCCGTGTGGCCGCTGGCGGGCACCGCAGCCCCGTGATGGGGGATGGATTGCCGCTGTTTTAACTGTTTCCTTTTAAAACCCAACAAACTCCACCCATCATCAGCATCATTAACATTAGTCTTTATGAGTAGCTAAATTTCATTAAATCATTATTAATTAATTCATTAAGAATTAAGTTTCATCAGGGGCGCCAGGTGGCTCCGTTGGCTGAATGTCTGACTCTTGGTTTCAGCTCAGGTGGTGATCTCAGGGTCATGAGATCTAGCCCCATGTCAGCTCCCTGCTCGGTGGGGAGTCTGCCTGGGATTCTCCCTCTGTCCCTCCCCCCATGCTCGCTCTCTCAAATAAATAAATAAAATCTTTTTTTTTTTAAGATTTTATTTATTTATTTGACAGAGAGACACAGCGAGAGAGGGAACACAAGCAGGGGGAGTGGGAGAGGGAGAAGCAGGCTTCCCGCGGAGCAGGGAGCCCGATGCGGGGCTCGATCCCAGGACCCTGGGATCCTGACCTGAGCCGAAAGCAGACGCTTAACGACTGAGCCACCCAGGCGCCCCAATAAATAAAATCTTAACAGAAAAGAATTAAGTTTCATTAATAAAACTGAGAGCGGATGCTGTCTATGCACCTGCTTGGGGGCAGACCCATATGTAAGCATATCAGGTATTTTGAGTGCCATGCTCACCTTCATAATCATGGGAAACTTCGGGCTCAGACACCAGTTAAGACGCCAAGGGCAAGCCTGGGACTCAAATCTAGGACAGCCCACACCTGAGCCCACACCTGAGCCCTCATCTGAGCCCACACCTGAGCCCTCACCTGAGCCCACACCTGAGCCCACACCTGAGCCCTCACCTGAGCCCACACCTGAGCCTCTACTTGAGTCTGCATCTGATTCCACACCTGTCTCTTATACAGTCTGAATGACCAGGTAGGGCCTAATTCAGTGTGATGTAGCAATAACTATTTTTGGGAACTCAATTGATAATGGAGACACGGGATGTCTAAAATATCTCAAAGAGAACCAAAGGTGGACACGTTTTAAATGCAGTTACTATTAGTTCAGCCAAAGTTGGGGACCTCAAAATGTGAACAGTTTCCTGATTTTTGCTAAATGTTCTGGTGAAAGAATGAATCACACTTACTGCACCCTCGGCAGTGGGCACAGTGACATGAGCGTCTCAAGCTGGGGGGAAGAAACAAGGGCCCTGTCTGTGTTGAGGGAGGACTTCAAGGAGGCCATCTGCAGGGCAGGGGTGAGGGGGCTCCACCAAAGGGACCCTGATTAGCCGGGGACCCAGAACAGTCATGCCCTGCCCGGGGACGCGGGCGGAGCCCAGAGCCCTTGCCCTGTCACGTGGCTGGATCCTGCAGGTACCACCTGCCCTCGCCCGAGCCCTGCAGCAGGGATCCCACTCTGCAAGCAGCACCCGCTGCATTTCTGGCTTTGAGCTGCCCCACCTGATTTCTATCACCCTTTCTCTGAGTTGAAAAGTCAGAGGACAATTTGTTGACTTTGATTAGAAAACACATCTATCCTATGGTCCAGCTGTTCTCATCAGCAAGTGTAGGCTGATGTGACTTCCCAGGAAATTCTAGAATTCTACCACTGTAATCCCAAAGGGGCTGGGTGAGTGTGGGGGGCAGGCAGATCTTCCAGTCCTTCACTGGTCAGGGCGGGGCAAGACTCCAAGCACCAGGGAGGGGGTGGGCTTGCCTCCAGGCAGAGCTGCTGGGGTGCTCACAAGAACCACATACTTAGTGCTGCTCGGGGTCTGAACCGTTCCCTCCGTTTTTATTAGGAGAGTAATATGAACAATCTAACCCCCAGAAATGGAGGGTTCGGGAACTGTGTCTGCCCTCTGCTTTCTGGATGTCACTGGGGCATCTGCTGTGTATCTCCCTAGAGTTTCTACGCTACGCTATCCTGGGATCATGACAAAATGGGATTTTGTGTGGTCTTTAAATGTCAAAATAATTCTTTACAGAACATGACTCTCGAACAGCTGAGTCCGCTCCCGCTTCAGCTCTGCCACCAGCTCTGGCCGGCAGTTACTTGAGCCTGTGTGGGATTTTTGACTTTCCCCCGTGACGGCCCGGGGCCCACGTGGCTGTGCCTGGCAGCAGGGAAAGGACAGAAGGATGGCGTTATGCTTCTTT